GCCCCACAAACCCACACTGTGCTCACCTTCGTCCCCGCCCCCTCCGACCCCCTTCGGCCTTCTCAGCGCCGGGACTTCCCCGGGCTGGTGCCGACCCTCTTCTCTCCTGTCTCCACGTTCAGTCCCTCAGGCTCAGGGGCTTGAACACCCCCTACACTCCGAGCCCCTGGAAGGAAGGCCAAGCCCAGATGCCCGCGCTCTGCACCCCACACCCCAACACCAGCACCCCGCATGCCTCTCACTCGGACATCTCACAAGGAATGGGAACTCAATGCATATCAACGAGGTTCTTTCTTTGAGCCCCCAAGTCTCTCTCTCCCCGTGTGTCCCATCTCAGGGCGTGACCCCGCCACACGCCCAGTTGCTCAAACTGGAAGTGCGGGCGTCATTCTCGGCTCCTGTTCCTGCTTCGCCTCCCACACACGGCTCGTCAGCAGTGCCATCGAGCAGAGCCCCATCTGTATCTCGTGTCTGTTGGCTGCTCACCAAACGCACTGCGGCCCGGGCCACCGTCACCTCGCGTTGACGCATCCCGCATGCTGCCTCCGCCCACGCAACAGCTGGAACGGGCTTCCTGGAACCTAAGTTGTTTTGGGCAACTCTGCAGCCTAAACCCCTCCACAGCTTTCTAGGGCCCTTGAATACAGTCCAGACTTTTTGCCCACTTAGCCTGTCTAGCTCTCCGGCCTCCTCTTACACCGTCTCCCCCTCCGTTTCTAAGTCCAGCCTCAGCGACCTCTGGACTCTTCAGAGAAACCGAGCTGTTTCCTGCCTCAGGGCCTTTGCACATGATGCTCTCTCTGTGCTCCCTCAGCCCATTCTTCACACTGACGTCATCGCCTCGTCCTTCAGGTCGAAGCTGCAATATCACTACCTGCTGAAATGAGGGCCCCACGGAGACGCGGCCCTCTCCTGCCATCCTGGTCCTCATCAGCCCCCTGGCTGCTCCTTTCACACCCGTCACCTCGTACTGTGATCACCCGTTTTCTTGTTTATGGCCCTTTGTGAGGGCGGAGACCATGCACGTCTCATTCACTGTCGCGGACCCGCACCCGCCACTCTGCCTCTGCATGGAGCAGGTGCTCAGCGCCTGTCTGTGGAATGAACGGAGAGGAAACGAGGGACGAAGCGGGAAACAAAATGAGAAAGGGAGATGAGAAGACAGAAAAGAATGGAGCCTGAGAGGAAGAGGAGAGAGAGACTTAGAGGAGATGTAATAACAGAGGCCTGGAGAACAGAAAGAGACACAGAACATCAGAAAGAATCTTGACAGCGAGGGAGACACGTGGAGGAGAAAAGAAGGAACGCCGGAGGAAGGTACGCAACGAGCGAAATGGAAGGGGGCACAGAGACGAGAACAGAAACGAAGAGCGACAGAGACCGGGAGGAGGGGCCGGAAGCTGGGGCTGTGGGGGTTCGCGCGCTACCGTTGCCATGGGCCAGCTTCGCCAGGGTGATGATGACAAATTCATCCGTGAGGTCGAGGGGCTTGAGGTGGTGCTGCAGCTCGTACATGACCAAGCTGAAGTGGTTTCGGGACAGAGCCACCAGGGTGTCACTGGCCACCTCTGCCTTCATGTAGCCCTCCATCTAAGCAGACCGGAGAGGGACATGGGGTGCCACCATCCGCTGGGCCCTCATAAGAACCCTCTTGCCCCTCGCCTGCTCCAGCCATGCTGGGCTCCCTTGGGCTCAGCCGATCTTTGCCCCATGAGGTAACTGGACAGGGCCTTGGGCATCCCAGGCCGTGCCCACCAACAGCCGAGCCCAGGGTTGGCAGTGGGCTGGAACAGCAATGGAGCCCAGGGCTCTGCTACCTCCAGGATCTCCCTCATGTCCTTGGAGGCGATGGCCACCAGCCTCTGGACACACTGCTCCTCCAGCTCCCCCTCCTGCTGGATGATCTCCTGGAGGATGCCGTAAATGCTGACTGTGCGCTGGGTGGGAATCTGCAGAGCAAGTGTGGCAGGGGTGGGGAGCCCCTGGACTGGGCTGTGGGGCCAAGGACGGACCCAGGCCCGCCCCAGCACGCAGCCCACCGTTGGTCCCTGCTCGCCACTACTCTTCCTCTATACCCCACCTGGGGACGCCCCCTCCATCCTCAACCGCCCAAGCCTCAGACTCCGGCCCCTCCGTCTCCACCGCTTCCCCTTCCCTCCTCCTGAGTCCTCCAACTGGCCCTTCAGCGGGGCCCATGCATCTGTTCTCCCCTCCCAGTTTTCAGCAAGGCAGGTGTCAAAAGGCCAGCACGCGAGGTCCTCCCCAAACTTGGCGCTGGCCTAATCGAAAGTCCGAGAAGGTGGCCTGCCCTACCCTTTGCCCTAGTGAGGGAATATGCGAGACCGGAAAGCGTTCTTCTGACCCGGATGTGATTCCCAGGTAATACTTATCACTATCATGAATGACCTGGTGTCGGACAAATAGGTTATGCAACGCAGGCCAGCCCGGGGAGTCGAGTTGGAGAATGACTCTCATGTAATCGGGTGTGACGAGCCACTCTTAGGGGACGAGGGTTGACTCTCTGTGTGAGCCACTGCCTGCAAAGCCCACTGGGAAACTGGCTCCCTCTCCGAGGTGGTAAGAAGGGTCACTTCCAATAGTCCAGAGATCTTAGCCAATTTGGGGATCTCAAGAAGAGAGGAAGTCACCTCAGTTGATATGCTCTACTAGTGACATCAGTACAGGGAGTTGGTCTTGCTTTCCTAGTCTCGTATAGCAAGTGACAGAGGCTGTGAAATGCCAATCAGAGATTCTTCATGAAAACCCCAGGATAGAAGAGAATCGTGTGGCCTTAGCTGTCCAGTCACATGGCTCTAGACCACTGTTTCTCAACATTTTTTTTATTGCTCCCTAAAGAGCCTTCTTAAACTTATTTTTACTTAATCGCCCCCCATAAAATCTTAATACCACAAATACATTATGTACCTGTTTATAGGCCTTATGCATCTCTATGCTTTATACATTAAAAAAAAAAGGAAATCGTTTTTTTCTTCAGCCCCCCAACAACCAGTTTTACGCATTTCAGGGCAGTGTCACCCCCATTGAGAATGCACGCTCTAGATTTTCAAAGCGAAGTGTCAAAGCTCGAGGAGGCCTGTATGCGTAATTAAAACTCTTGCTGCACCTATGTAAACAGCCGGGCAAACTGTAAGAAGATCAGCCTTTTCTGGGACTGAGAAGAACATTTACGGTCATAAGAGAAAAAACTGTCTAAGACTTGGAAACTGGCATAGAACAGGCACTGGGTGGCCTTCAGTGTGTGCTGCCGTCTGCCAGACGCTCTGGGGTTCTTGGGCCTGGGGGAATGGGTGTCTTTGGTCTCCTGGGACTGTCTAGGGGATGTTACGGCTCCATGGTGACAGAAGCTAAGTTCTAGAAAACAGATAACAATGCAAACGTTTCCTCCCTAGCAATGAAAATAATTCTGGCTTGTGGCAAGGCCAATGAATTTTGTCTGGCAAAGAATATAAATCTCTATAAGTAAAATTCTTGTGTTAACAGATCGTAACATCTCACCGGCTCCTTCATTAATTAGTAAATAACTAAAATCTTTGACACATGTTAATTTTTAAAATAGGTCTATTGTGTTTTGTCTGCTTATTGTCACTGATCGCTGATTACAGCCTGGGTATTAATCATGTTTTTTTAATTGTCTACCTTTCCTGATGCTTTGACATCTTGGGATCTCACTGACCCTGGCGAGCCTGCCCCTCCCGGGTTAGCTAGTCCCTGCAGATGGTAAACGACTCACCCCCTGAGCATGCTTTTTAAATGCAAACCAACCAGGGACAGCCCCTATGCTCAGAGCCCTGAAATTGCTCAAACTCGCCAACCCCAAGCCTGCTCACCCTGCCTTGCCTGATCACCCCCCACCCCCGACAGACACCGTGATAAATGTTCTGCCCAGATTTTCCCCTCAGTCCCTCTGCCTCTCACACAAACCCGCTGCTTCCCTGTGTGGCTCTGCATGGCAGGGACTGCCCTCGCCTCCACGGATCTGTGACTAAAAAGTTATCTTTCGAAGGCAATCGGCCCCTGAGCTATTGGCCTCACCATGTCTGAATAATAATAAAACCTACATTTTAAAAGTCCGTTATGAAACATTGCCTATGCTCCCTCACTCTGGCACGACTTCTTCATGGCTATCACACATTTTTCTAGAAAATAAAACTTTCTACAAAGAATTTCTTAAAAAAAAAAAAAATTCTTCTGCTATCCACCCCCGAAAGCTAAAGGAGAGTCTAAAGCCCAGCAGTTCTTAAAGTGTGTTCTCCAGACCAGCAGCAGCAGCATCGCCTGGGAACTCGCTGGAGATGCTGGCTCCCCAGGCTCCACTCCAGACCTACTGAACGAGAAACCGTTGGGGTGACCCCGCTATCTGGGTTTTAACAAGCCCTCCAATGCTCTGGTCCAAACCCATCCCTGCCACCCAAGGCCCAGCGTCATCTCCCATCACAGTCCCATCACTCCTTTCGACACCCTGTACCCCAGCCTCCCGCCCCCGCTACACAGTCCCTTCCGTGGCCCGACGTCCCTGAGCTCTGGTCTGCTCTGTCTTTGCTCCCACACGACCACCTGCTTTGCTCCTGCTCCAGGATCAGGGCTCCAAAACCCACTGCGTCGGAGGAACTTTTAAAAATCGTAAAAACCCCAGGCTCCCCTGAGTCCTCAAGGAGCAGGAACCCAGTGTCCTGCCCATCTCTGTACCCCAGCACCTAGCCCTGCACCTGTGTGCTGAGCGGCGGCTGGACGCACAAGTGGCCACAGCGGCTGGGCTCTGAGGAGCGGCTGAGGGAGAGGAGGCCCTACCTTGGGCACCTGCAGGCAGCGGATGAGCGCGTTCATCACCACGCAGGGCTTGGCGGTGGCCTTCTCCGTGATTATCACCGAGGCCAGCGTCTTCCGCATGTCAGGACCTGCCCCAACAGTGTCCGTCTTTGCTGACTCGCTGTCCATGATGTTAAGGAGGTTCGTGACTTGTTGGAACGTACCTGAGACAAAGGCAGCACAGGTGCGGCGCTGAACTGACCGTTACAGGATGTGCTCCCTGGGCCCCAGCCTCGCCGACGCCTGCACAGACTTAGCCAGCCTGTGGCACGGCTGGACAGGGAACTTCCTGTCCACTGTACAGACGGAGAAACAGAGGCCTCAGCCGGGACTTGCCCTCAAAGAGTTAGTGGTTAGGATGGGACAGGACGTGGCTGGCTTTCTTACCACCATCATCTGGTTCCAGAGGTTCCGGATCCTCCGTTTCCTCTGACAGGTCCTCGTTTGAGTCTATTGCTGCTTCTGCCATCTCTTCCTCCGGCTCTTTTGAGAAAAACAAACTTTCTAAAATGCTTAGTGTATTGACTGGCACACTCGAGGTGAGCCCAGGGAGTCACACCCTGTATAATACCCTCCCTTGAGGATGTACAGAACCCATGACCTGCTCCTAACCGACAGAACATGGCAAAGGCAGTGTGGGAAGCCACGTCCACGGTCGTGTTATGTCATTAAGACTCCATCTTAGCCTGTGGCGGGAGCCGTGCAGAAAGCAATCATGGGCCTCGGTCCGACAGCCACAGGGGCCTAGATTCAGCCAACAACCGCATGAGCTTGGGAGAGCCCCAAGCTCCAGGAAGGCTGGAGTGCAGCTTGTGAGACCCTAGGCAAAGGACCCTACTGAGCTGTGCCCAACTCCTGACTCACAGAAACTGAGATAATAAAGGGGGGTGGTGTTAAGCCGCTACGTGTATGGTAGTTTGTTACACGGCAGTAGGTAACTAATCCACTGGGTTAAGCGGGCCCTCTCCCTCTCTTTTCTAGACACTGAAAACTGAAAACGCACGAGGAATCCACCTCGACAACTCTGTCCTTTCAAAGGGGCTCTTACCACATCGGCAGCTTCTTAAGGGTTAACGAATACCAAACAGATGTTTAGATGGGGGATTAAAAGCTTCCACGTACTGTTTGATGCAGTTCCAAGTTCCTCAGTCCTCAAACCCCCACCTAGGGCCCTTTACCATCCTGTACTTTTCCCCCCGGGAATCCTTTAAAGAGCTGCTCTGGGACCTAAATACTGACCTTTGCTCAGAGTTCTCTCCCGGATGGAACAAAAATACAATGCAAGAAGCAGCTCCGTTGTCGGCCTGATACACACCAGCAGCGATGTGGGCAATGGCGAGATTGGTTATCGAAGAAGCGAGACGACCGAGCTCCTCGGTCGTGATGTCGATGAGAAACAGGTCCCTTGGCAGGGTGGGAGGGCTTCATGAGAACCGTCACCGTTAGGTCCCAGACCCTTGGAACTTTGCCATCCAACTGCCTCCTCGAGGGTCTCTCAACAGAGGGCTTCGAAGAGCGTGCACAGGGCCCTGTAGTAAAAACCCCACACTATGTCGTCATTAAACATTTCCATTCCCCACCTGTCTGGTGAAGTATGGTGGCCTGTTTGGGAAAGGAAGCTGGCAGGAGGAAGGCAATGAGGAGGAATCCCCCGAGGATGCAGTCGTAGGACCCCAGGGTGGGGAGGTGCGGTCAGGACAGCTGGCGGGGAGGAGGGGGACGCAAAGGTCCCGGAAAGAGGAGGACTCCTCACCAAGGACCGAGTGACTTGCAGGATGAGGAAGGGGGCTCCCGCTGGCAGAATACTCAGAGGATAAAGAACCTCAAAGAAGGCAGGGACCCTGTTTCCTTAAACCAAAAGCGGGACCCAAAAGATTTCCTTGTCACTTGTAGCTGTGTGAGAGAGAGTCCAGACCACCACTTTGCGCAATGAAAGACTGGTCTTTGGAAATCTTTCTGTGCATTACTGGGCAAGAGAACAAGACTCAGAGCTACCTAGGTACAAGATGCTTAGTTAAAATTAGACTCGAAGTTTACCCGCCCTGCCGAGAGGGAGTTCCTCGGCCTCTGCTTGGACACTGCTGGTACCAGGAAGCTCGTCACCCTCAGCGACCCATTTATACTCTGCTGAGTCTGGATGGTCAGGAAATGGGCTTCCTTACATGGTGCCAAGAAAATTATGCCCCGTAAAACTCACGCCTTGTTCCTCGGCCTGCCCTTTGGAAACATATTGACCGATATGGACCAGACACAGGAAGCTGATTAGCACAGGCCCCTTCTCTTACAGCATCCTCCCGCCCGCCCTACCTCCCCCCAACCCCTTCTGGGCCTTCTTTTCTCTTTCAAAGATTGCTCAAGTGACATGATGGCAATAATTCAACAGTAGCTAGGTGCGGCTTCCCATGCTGTGGTGGGTACACAGGTGAGCAGGACGCTCCTTTGTCCTCTGAGGGTCTAAAGACCCAACACATGAACTGCTATGGTTTTAGGGCCCAAAGTGAATGTATCAGTTAGGCTTTGTTGTGTAATGAGCCACCTCAAAACTTAACGACTGACAACCACGACTGATTATCATCGCGAGTCTACGGTGGTCAGCCGAGTGGTTCTGTTAATCTGGCCTTGTCCAGCCATGCACAACTAGAGCCACTCAGGCAACTGCAGTCAGCATGTGGGCTGTGTGCGAGGGCTGGATGACCTCACACAGGTGTCCGGCCAACTATTGGCTGAAGTGACTAGGATGATTGGGACACCTGTCTCACATCGTGCAGCAGAGCTAGCCCAGGCTGTTCACGCAGCAGTTGGATGGAGTTCCAAGACAGTGAGCGTCTTGCAGCCTAGACTTGGAACGGGCACCCATCACGCCTGCCACATTCTATCAGCCAAGGCAGGTCACAGGCCAGACCAGACTCAACAGGGGGAACAGGTCTCTCCTCTTAATGGGAAGAACCGAAAAGTCATGCTGTGAAGGACGTGGCTATGAGGAGGGGTAGAGACAGGGCCCACTTTTTATTACACACATGGTGAGTGTGTAAGCCATGACAAAAAGGGAGATGTCCTGAACACATTATCCAGAGAAAATGTGAAGACAGTGAGGTCAAGGAGAAAGACGTGAACTCTGCTTGGTTTGCCTGAATAAAAGTATGTCAATTTTTCCTCAGATTATGACAATAATATTTGACATATACAATCCATTCATAAAATCAGCCACTCATAAGCAGTCATATTCTCCCTCTGCTTCTACGGAAACTAACTTGAAAATAAAAAAACTGTATTTGTAGAAACCTGTGAGCTTAAATGCATGAAAGGGCCAAGGCAGAAAGTGGAAAAAAATAGAAATAATGTCCACATGTAGTGGACATATTTATGGGTATCTTCCCAAATCATAAGGTTCCCTCTTCCCTGGCCCTTGGGGTCGCAGTTATGGGCTCCTGGTGGCCATGTTTTTCTTCTGCCACCCCTTCACCAGCACTCCTGATTGGACAAGGAGTGGATACCTGATCCAGCTGGGCCAACCTTCCTCCCAGGAACTCTGGGTAAAAGAGAATCCAGTCGGTGTCCTGTAGGATCTTGGGGCTGAGAGATCTGGGGACTGAGGAACAGAGGAAGCCAAGACGGGAGGGAAGAGCAAAGCCTGCACGAGTGCACGGGACAGGAGAGAGCAAGAGAGGCCCCTCAGCCCAGCCCCGCTGGAGGCTTGGCCATGAGCCTTGAGTCCCTAGGCAGCCTATTTACCAAAAGACCCCTGTTTTGCTTAAGGTACCCAAGTTGCGTTCTCTTACTTGTAAACAAGAGGGCCTGAGGGACGGACATACCAAAATGCAAAGGAGCATGAGCTGGTCAGAAGTGAGAGCAGTGGGAGCAACGGGCAGTGAGATGGACCCTGGCTGGACTGGGAAGGGCCTGGAAAGAGGGTGGAAATGGTCCAGGACTCACCGCAGGGCTCAAAAGATTTCTGGTGTGAACAACTTGTGTTCCAAAAGCAGCCCGGGGAAGGACTGAATGAGGCCGAGGCCAGGAGAAGTCTCATCATCCACGTGACGCCCACCTCCAACTTGAAGCCTACACGTTTAAAACTTGTTCATATAACGTGAAGCAACAGAGATGGGAACAAACTTCAAGGCAAAGAACGAGTACAGAAAATACAACACATGACAGACGAGATTCTCATTAGTGCAGTAAACACTAAGTAAATTCTCAGGGTGATACATTCCACCAAAAAATACCGGCAGAGTTACCAAAATAGAAGTACAAATGGCTCCTAACCTTGTAAGGATTCGACTTTTAATAGTAATAATAATGAAAGTACATTTAAAATGAGATCCCACTTTTCCCCTATCACACTGATGCCCCGCCCCCGCCCGGGACATTCCACTAAAGAGGGT